CACGAGTATGCAGTAAGCCGTCGATCGGCTATACCTTTATTCATTAACATGGTTGTGGGTCGCGTCGCTTCGAGCTTGTTTATTTGGGATTCTTTGGTACTAAAGTCATCTAATACGTTCATACTAAACGGTGAATTATTGCTGTTAGGCCGTTGTTAAAAGAGGCCTTTGTTAAAAGCTGCAGCACTTATCAAGAGCAAAAAGGTTTTATGTTTTTTGAGTTGATGATCGAACCAGATAGATGACGTTGTTTTTATTTTTCTAATTTATTGCATGCTCTATGAGGAAGTATTAAAAAAAATATTTGTTCCCGAAATCAAAATAGATGTCGCTACGGTATGTTCTTGATTTCTCCTTTCCGGTTTTCTTTCAAGTTTAAAAGTAAATTAGTTTTCAAAACTCAATAAACAACTCATATTCCATTTTTATATCTAAGTTCCGAACTATTCAAATTTCGGTTTTTTAAACGGAACGGAAATGACTGGCTTTGGTCCTTTCGTTTCCCGCAAAAATCAACTTTTGCTAGAGCCGCCATCTAGTCGAGGAGCTTTTTTAGTGCTTTCGTTTTTTTTTAAATACTGCCTCATTTGGCCCGTTGAGTCAACAAAGTGACTTTAACACCAAGAAAGTCAGAAAGCGCGAGTTACTGCTTGTGAAATAAGTTATTTTGTTTTATTATTTTTAGCTGTGAACAACTTTATGTAGAACAGAATTCTGTTGTAATAACTTTTTTGACTTCGCTAATAACACCTCGGGCACTGACCAGTATTTAATGCGACAAAAAAAAGAAACATGTAACATAACAGTACTTAGTTATTATAATTCGGCATAAAAATATCATAGTAGTCACTAAATATAATTTGTTTTAAGTGCAACAGCTATATTATAGTAATAGATTAGCTAAAGCATACGAGTTATATTTTTTATAGTTTTTTTTTTACAGATATTTTTAAGGTTTCAAGTAATAGCTACTCAATTGTTCTGGTCGGAACGAAATGGCTGCATCTTTTTGCTGATGCTGTGTTTTTTGTAAGAAACGGTTTCATAATACTCTAATAATGCAAATAATTTCATAACAAAATCGTTTTAATGTTAAGTGCAAACGTTAATAATCACAAAAATTATTTCCTGTGATAATAATAAATAAACAGCGTTAAATAGTTTCAAGTTTCAGCGTTAAAGTGCTGATTTTTACAGGCAAGCAATATAACACGATACCAATACCCATTACTAAACATAACTTAATATTTTATCTAGAAAATTTAATTGAAGTATTTATATTTATTTATAAGTTTCTTAGTTTTGAACTTTTTAAAACAAATATTGTCATTAAATCAATACTTACGCAGAATTTAGTTATTTCAATATTTATTTTACTTAATAATGGAAGAAAAATAGAACAAACTTTGAATTTAAAAAATCTGTCTGTTGAAAAATTCAGTGTGCGGTTTGGTATTTTCAGACCTTTTTGCGTAGATTATTAAACGAAGATTAAAGAAAAGAAACGAAATATATTTAATTAATTATAATATATACATACTTATACTTAATTATAATATATATCGTACATACTTATTACTTATCAAATGGACACTGTAGTAGCGTAGGACTACTCATTGTTAATTGATTTATAACGTCCTATAAATCAACTATTTCATATCGTTTACGCAGCAGTTCTTATCAGAATTGCGTTAAATGTAAAATAGACTGAGGAAGACGAACCAAGTACAAATAAATTTAATATAAAATGAGGTATTAATGATATTTGGTAATGAAAATACAATTTATTTTTGAAGCTTTAGTAATTTTCAATAAGATATATATGAATTTAAAACTATGAACACAAACTTTAACAAAGACACAAATACCGAGTTATTACTTAATTTCAACGATATAGTTTCTTCAGATTAAATACCACTTTGTTCCTCGGACTCTGAGATGGGTCAAAGTGGATTATTTAAGCACTTTTCATTAAGTATAGCATTGTGATTGCAAAATTTATCAAATATAATAATTATTTTCAATTTATTTATCGTTAATTGTTCGGCTCGTCAAAATACTTATCTAAATCGATAGCGTTCCTAAGACGTTGACATTTGCATTTATAAAACGTGATATCGCACGATAAGAATGACAATGTCACTAACCAAAAACGTTGTATATTTTCCTTTTGGCAACATTTTTCTTTGTTAAGTATAGACTTTAAAATGCAAAGATCCCTGTGAACGTAGCTTGCATAGAAACTGCTAGGTGGCATACTGACGATATGTTGTTTATAGGGGCTGATTACAATTTCTTAAACTTTAAACGCTCATTACTCAAAATCGTATTTTTTACAATGTGTCACTATCGTTCTCAATGTACGATATTTAGTTGTCACTTTATTATAGACTGGAAATTCCATTTGAAAACTCTTTAAAATCACCTAATATTTAATTATTACTTAAGATTATGCATGTGTGAGGTTCATTCACATAAGTGTACCATAATAACCAACGATAATAAGATAAGAGATGTTTAATAAATAGGTACTCAATTCGTTAGGCACACGTGTTATGAGCGGCATGATTCATGCGCTTTATCTTAATCTTATTTCAATGTCAGCCTTTGTTTCTGAACAGTTAATTTAAGTGCAGAGTAAAAGTATTATGAATTATTAACTAGGTGTATACTGCAGCTTCACCCGATGTTGCCGATTTAAAATCTATATTAACATGATATTATAAATGATGTTATAAACAAGCCTGGTTTTGGTATAAACTGGGATATAAAAATTAGAAAGATTTTTTTATGTTAATTTGTGTAGCATTAATAATTTCAAAAAGCCAATAGCTTCAAAATGTAAAACTAAGTTAACACATAAACTTTCATGTGATGCGACTGCAAACGAGATTTAAGTTGGCACAGTGCCACCATATAAATGGCCGTTCACGAGATTACATTTTGTATCCTTTAAAATAACTAATTCAGTACGTACACAAATCTATACTAGTATTATAAAGCTGAAGAGTTTGTTTGTTTGAACTCGCTAATCTCAGGAACTACTGGTTCGAATTGAAAAATTCTTTTTGTGTTGAATAGACCATTTATCGAGGAAGGCTTTAGGCTATATAACATCATGGTGCAACTATTAGGAGCGAAGAAATAATGGAAAACGCGGACGAAGTCGCTGGCGGCCACTAGTATATGTATAAATATTAGGTACTTTTATTTTAAACTTTCAAACCTTAAAATTAATTATATGACAAAAGATGACGATGATATTAGTGGCAAAATTAGAAATAATAGACAATTTTAATTTTAGATATTTGTACACGACTGCACTTCAGGGTATTATGTCAAATTTCCTCAATTTAATTTATCTCTATCTGTAATACATTAAGGTTTAAAATCGAGTGAATGAATTTGACAGTTTCATATAGCCAGGCGTGCTATTAACTGTGTAGAATATGGTATTTCATCGATAACAATAAAAAGAAAAGAGATCGATCGTATTGAAGATAGTGCAATATCGTTTAAATTAAATATCACATGCAAATAACAGCAAACTAATTAAGATATTAATTTATGTAAAATTTTAAGTAACTCATGCAAATTTTAAGCGAATCGTTATTTTGATAAATTTAAAATTGTCTCTCAACGACTCTGAACGTGACGACCTCCGTAGCCGAGTGGTTTGCACGTCGGTTTCTAGGTGTCACCATCTCTGAGATTACGGGGAAGATTTCCGGTCCGGCCAATGAAGAAAATGAACTTTTCTATATTGTCTCGGGTCTGGGTGTTGTGGTGCCTTCGTTATCTCAGATACTTTATAATACAGGGGCTTTAGTTACTCATCTTGGAATCTGAGCAATGTATGTGATGTTGTTTAATATTTTATTAATAAGTGACATTTACGCATAATTCCCGAAGATCCGTCATTTATAAAGCTCTGTCCGATTTCTCTTTGTTTTGATTAGAATTTTAAGAATGAATTATATAGATAATATTTCCATTAAAACGGCTTAAAGTAGGCATACTCAAAAGTCTATTAAAGTAATGATCCGTCGTATTATCACCGTTATTCGTTCCCCAAACGTAATCAAGCATAATGTAGCGCAATTTTTGCACTATTCATTTACAATCAGTGTCATAGCCGTCGAGGTTGGCTATCACAGATATGATATTTTGCAGTTAAATGTCGAAGAGGAAAGGTAGCAGTACTGTAGTGAATGGCCCGTATTATCTGTGGTGAGTGACCAGCGAGAAATCGCAAGGTTATCGCGTACGGATCGACCGCGCCTGACCAGATAAATTTAAGGACATTATCACGCTGCCCTTTTCGCTGGCGCCGTTTTGTGGAGACAAAACTAACGAGTCTTTCTTTTAATTTAAAATTGAAAACAATGAACCCTGATACTTAGTGATAGAACATTATGGACTAGCTGATTCTATAAACTCCGTATAGTACAGATAAATCTTTATTACTTTTGTAGTTAGCTTTATACATATAATTCCATGTAGACCTTGGCTGATTTTTTGATAGAATAGTACTGCTTTTTGTATAGATATAAATAGAGTTGTTTTAATTGCAATTTTCTCAATTTTTTTATCTCTCCATAAGAACGTTTCTCAGACTTTAAGGACTGTTAGAACAAAATTATTTCAACTTGTTCTGTAACACAAGTTTTAAGCTCAACAATACATTTTTTATAGGTACATGCAAAAAAAATCAAAATCTGGTTATTAATAACTTGTCGCTGATTCTTAGTGGTAATATTGGGGAATCGTTTCTTAGCGAATATCCTATAACTCTAAGCGTTTCGTAATTGGAAAATATTTAATGCAAAACATTCTGCAGAAGATAACTTGAATGTTGTAAGTTTATTTGCACCATAAAACTATTTTATCTACCCCTCTTGGTATCATGCTTTTCATCTGACACAAAAGGTTCAGAAGCTTTAAAAACGTTAAATTTAAAATTTTTATATAAAAAAGTGAAACAATTCCACTGACCTGGCCTAGACCTTTGCACCTTTCCACATTGGATTATTGTAAGAAGACGTCGGTGACTTGTAGAGTGGGTTAATGCCAGTGCTGCCTTCTGGTCCCTCTAGTTCTTGGTACTGTGAGGAGGCGAGAGGCAGCGGCGCGTTCTTAGACTTCCACATCATGTAGCCGGCTACTGCTGTAGCCGCAGCTACTATCGCGATCACTCCAAGAACGGTAGGCAGCATTACTGAGATAGGAATTGTGAATTAAAGGCAAATTTGTTAGAGCAATTTTGTTTTTCATTGTACTGATGACTACTTCGCATAAGAACAATTAGACCCTAATACAGTTTCTAGAAGAAATAAAAAAAAAACAGCAGTAATATAATAGTAAAGCAACGTTAACCAACTGATTGATCTACCAATGCACAAATCAAACTTATGGACGACTTGAGCCGAAATTATGAGTAGGTATTTGTTTGGATACAAAACAGATAAAATCAGGTAATTCATGAAGGCAAAGATGTGGGTATAAGGCTAATATAATAAGTAGATAGGACACAGGTATATTATCATTCCAACATATACTAAATACTTACTGTTCACATTCCCTCCAGCAATCGCATCGCTAATAGCATTGCAATTACTAATTTTCATCACGTAGATCTCATCATTGGAATTCTTCATGGCTGCATAATCGTAGTTGCACTCATCAATCTTTTCCTGACATTTCACCCACACTTTTCTGTTATAGTCGTCTCTTTCTTCTAACAGCGATTGGTTGAAAGCTTGAATAGTTAGAGAAGGACAATCTTGGCATTTCCCGTGGGGTTTGTCGTGGAGACACGGCTCACATTCATTGGCAATGATCATGCAGAGGTCTGCGCAGTAATTGTCCGCCTGGAAGTACTGATAGCCCTCTCTATCGTCGTAACAGATGCAACTGTCGCAAGGACCGCAGTAGCCGTTTCCCGAGCACTCCACCTGATTGAAATTTAAGATAATGATTTTTATTCTTTGTTAAAGAAATATAAATAAGACACAATTGATGTATCGTGCTGTAGAATATTGTATAAAGCTTCATGGTTGTTTATTATAAATTTACAGATACCGGTTGGAATTTAACTTACATCATTTTTATAAGGATTTGTGCACTGGAGATCACCTCGACGGTCGTCGCATTTCGGTTGTTCCTTGTTTTCGCAGAATTCTCCTGACCTGATAAATGAGTATTTATCTTAGGTTATGCGAAATTATTTTTAGATTAAATACTTCACCACCAGCCCTTTTACGTCCCCACTGCAGGGGCTTAGGCCTTCCTTATGGATGGTTAAGGAGGATGGGCCATGACCCTCCACGCTGGCCCAATGCGGATTGGAGGGTATTAACGACTGCAAATGCAGCCGGGACCAACGGCTTAACGTGCCTTCCGAAGCACGGAGTAGCTCGAGATAATAATATTTTGGTCACCCATCCCGTGACCGACCCTTGCGAAAGTTGCTTAACGACTACGATCGCGGGCCGCGGCGCTTATCCACTACGCCACCGAGCTACTCAAGCTTAAATACTTGAAGACTGAGAAAGATTAACAGAAATGCTGTAATCGTATTAATAAACATTGGCCCAGCGATCGTAAGATAGTCAGATTGATGCGGATTTCCTGGAATCCTCATTAGGTGTCATGCCCGTTGTTGTAGTAATTTTGGTAACTCCGCATTTATTAGATCGCAAGTCACGTTTCGCATACAAAGCGATATTATTATTATGCTATGTAATTGAGTGTATAACTTTCGCGTATTCAAATAACGGTTTAAAATAATTTGGTACAATGATCAAACGTATTGGCATTAGGCTAAAGATTAGATTAAATATTGGTCAAGTCATTTGAATTAAAAAGATGACGATAAGAGCCTTTTAGAGAGAACTTGAGAGCACTTTCTCCAGAAGCAGATAAATCGCGTCTGTCATTGAATTATGCCTGTATTTTTTAATAACACGGCCATTAAGATGAGAGTGATCTCTTGTGCTACTAATTGCTAATGTGGGATGGACAAAGACGCATTTGTACGAAGACTAACTGGTAATGTTTTATTACAACTTTTATATTATAAACGGTTCTATTGGAGAACTTGTTTTTGTTTATATGATAGTAGCGATATATTTGCCAGTAATGTAGTAAAACAGTGGCCTTAAACCACTTGTCATTCTAGAATACTGGTTAAATCAATATTGCTTTAATAATTTCCTGACAAAACTGCAAAAATGCCATTCTAGAATACTGGTTAAATCAATATTGCTTTAATAATTTCCTGACGACTATATCCATAAATACAGTTTAGCTATTTTTATTTATAATGAAAATATCTGTATTTAAGTTTATTTTATATTTGTTATATAAAAGTTTTACTCACCATCCTCTTTTACAACTGCAGACACCACAAGAGAAGTCACCGTTTTTATTGCAAATTGTCGAACTCTTTTCAACTTTGTCGCTGCATGCGCAAGCGCAGGGAACATGGTATTTCACGGAAGCCTCCTCGGTCATATTATCCACTCGTACGTTCATGTTTACAAATTCATACTTGCCGCTGTCGGGCAAACAGAAATTTGTCTCAGGTTTCACGCTTACTTGTGTTGTGCATTTTCCGTTCGTACAAACAGTCTTACTCTCGAATATTTGGACCTTGTCTGTTTGTGTAGTGTTTAATACAGTTATGTGAACCTGTGGACAATAGTGATTATTTTTGTTGGTTATTACGCGAGCAATTATAAAATCGTCAGTCTTATAATTATGAGCGCTGTTATTATCGTTATAGTGTTGTTTTTTTTTAATTTTATATCGTGAAAAAGGTTTATGAACCTGTCCGCAATTTTATATCATAATAAACATTATCATAATTTTATGAACCTTCTCAGGGGCTCTAGACGGATAACGAACAGAAGCTGTAGGTATATACCAAATGAGCTATCCGAAAATTTGGCGAGGTTGTTGCATAGTTTTCAACTTTAAACTAAAACGAATATGTATTTATAAGCATATTAATCTAAAATACACACAAATAAAAAATACAACACATGTAAAATTTATCAATCATATCAAACTGATCCTTTACATTTTTGTACATCAACAAAGTTTAAATCTTGAATGCATCACATAAAAAAATTATAATGGTGAAAAATTAACAAAAAAATTCAAAGCACTTACACTAGGGTTGGTTTGGCTACTCCATTCATAGATGAATTCAATCCTGGGGCTAGGCTTGTCCACATTCGCAGTGACAGCATATCGTCTGGGACTTATAATATCTCCAGGAGTACTATCCTTTGTCTCCTCGATAGCTGGTAGTTCTTCTAAGTTTCCAACGCCTGGACACCAGTTGTCGTGTCGATGAGCTGAACAGTGTTCACCCTGCAACAACAGAAGCAAAAGATGATTTTTTCAATAGAACACATTTTTCTTTTAATCAGTTACGATTCATATATTATCTAGGAGAACACAAATAGTGCTCAAACACAGAGCACACATAAGTTAGAGCACGAGCGCAAGAATTGCTCAGTATCGTAATTAAAGGTACGAAAATAAAATATTGACAGCTTTCCGAAGTTTTTATAAAACATTATTGGAATCATGTCTAGGTTAAAAAAAATTCCAACCTATTTATGACACCACTGCTGGGACTCAGGAATTCCCTATGGATGGAATTGCATCAAATCGCATTAGGAGAATGAGCTATGACTCACCACGCGGGCCCACTGCAGATTGTTGGATATTACCGACTGCAGATGCTGCCGGGACCAACGGCTTAGCGTGCCTTCCGAAGCACGGAAGAGTTCAAGATAATAAATTTTTGGTCACCATCCTATGACCGGCCTTTGCGAAAGTTGTTTGACGACCGTATCGCAGAACGATAGCGATGCCCCAACGATCTCCTCAAAAGAATAGCACTTAATGCTAATTTAGTGACATTTATTTTCTTAATAAATACCCACAGTTCTGCTAGAATGTAGTTATTCTCAAGAATGTTGTTTAATAGTAGAATGCATATATTTCCTTTGAAGATCTAGGTATTATAGTCATTAATGCTTTAATGATTCTGAGATTGTGCCAGTTAAAATGTCTACCTAGTGGTGCAATTACACGAACTGGATGCGACAAGGGCATATAATTCGATGGAAATGGAGCGAGTCTGTAATTAATCTATCGTCATTGACATTTATTTGGTTTGAAATTGATTTGTTGCGGTTATTTTCAACTCAAGTAGTGATTAAAATGTAATACCGACATAAGAAGGTATTTATTTATATTTTAATATGTAGCTAGCATAGTTATTGCAGTTTAGGGAGAAACGTCTTTGAAATATAAAAAGATATTAACTTAGCTATTTCGTTGGATTATGTAATGCACTGCTGTGTATTTATCTAGCACTTACGTGTATGATTAATTATTTACCGACACCTCATAATCATCGTAATAACACAACTATTATAAAGTGTAATTAGTCTGAGTAGACTTGGCGTTTCCATAACGGCTACGTTAATTCCTTGTTAAAATGTTTCAAGTGGCGCCACAGGGAGTGGACTTGGCATGGATTGATGACCACTCGCGTAGGTTTCTTAACGCGGATGCAAGTTGCCATTAATGTAAAGTGCAGGACGATAACAGAACCTTGTTACGAGTGAATAAAGATTACTTTTAAATAATATCTCGACGGGACTACAGCGTTACGCCGGAGTTCACGATCACTATCCGCTTGCTTTGTTTGTTGCAATCGCCATATACTAATGCTACCGATGAAACTAGTCGAATGTTTTGTTGACCGTACATGGTGTATAATTTATAAGCATGACTGGACCCTCATTAAAGTGCATTGTGAATGATACATCTGAATGAAGGTTAACCGGACAAAGAAATCTTTTAGAAAACGTTTGTAAGATTAGAATGAAGTATAAACTGGTTACAATCCAACCGAGTTTGTTATCAAGCTGTTGGAAATGGATTTCTAAAGTATTTTGGGCAAAAAACCCCTTATAGATTCCTTATTCGGACGGATTCTTCCAAGTCCATAGCCAAATTACTTTAGCAATCACAGCTCTAGTTTTTTCTGTTATATATATTAGCTACCAAATTGAAAATTTTGCATTCAGTGATGAAATAACATTATTTTAGAAAAAAAATAACAGAAAATAAAAAATATCATTAATAGAGGTAGATTTTTAGATCACTAAGACCCCCAGAAATAGATTTCCTTTTTATTGAACCCTGGGAAACCAATTTTAACCCCGAAGTTTCGTTTTTTTTTTTTTATGGGATAGGGGGCAGACGAGCAGACGGATCACCTGATGGTAAGTGATTACCGTCGCCCATGGACACCTGCAACACCAGAGAGAGGAGAGAGAGGGGCTACAAGCGCGTTGCCGGCCTTTGAGGGACGAATATGATTATAGGGAGGGAAGGGTTGAGGGGTAGAGGGAAGGGAATAAGGAGGGGTTGGGCCTCCGGTACCGTCACTCACACGACGAAACACAACGCAAGCGTTGCCTCACGTCGGTTTTCTGTGAGGCCGTGGTATCACTTCCATATTAATATACTTTTTGCATGCAAACCATTGCATCAGGTATGTTTGTAATGTAATGTAACATAAAAAAACTATCATCAATTTGAATTTCAAACATGCAATAGGTGCTGGTGATTGCATAAAGCAAATTAATGGCAAATAAATACTAAGAAGTTGAATTGCTATTGAATGGTGCTGCTGATGGTAATAGTAATGTGGCACTAAAATATCAATTGAGTTGTAAAGATACTTAGTTTTTGAACAGTATGTTAGCAAACATGTAGCAGATGAGAACCTAAATTACGAAGCAGTAAATTCTTAATTTACAGTTCCTCGTAATATACTGTTATAAAAATCACCTTCATCGTTGTAGGTCTAACTATAAAGCAAGGGCAATAAACCCTTTAATCTAAGTTCGCGCATATGAAACCGAACGTGGGAGTAGCGGGTAATAGTAGAGTCGTTGACGATTGAAGATTATTCCTATCTGACTAATCGACACAGAATCAGCTGTCCCGCTCGTGCCCTTAAGGCGGGCTCTACCTTTTTTTTTTCGATCGAGATTACATAATGCACAAAAAAGTATTATATCAAACATTTGATCCAGCATTTTCTAACGAAGTTTTTTTTATATTTTTTTTTAGTATACAATACAAAACTTTTTGAGTTAACTTATTCTATAACTGTATTCTTTTATAATATAAATAATGTTGCGAATTATAATAAAATAAGTTAAGTCGTGTTAGCTTAAAAAAATACAGAATTTAAAATGTAGCTTGACCAGATTAAAATTAAAAGTTTATGCAATATATTACTTTTAGAGCATTGTCTATAATTAATTGATGTGTTTAATATCGGTGTGAGCACCGTAAAACCTGCCCTTAACGTTGAAAAATACTATAATAGACAAGAGGAGAGATAACTGAGTAACCTGTAATAAGGCTTTTTGGTGTGGGTGGTAGTCGGCCCACGGTACTGTATCTTGAACCCTGTTGCGACACCTGGCAGTCGACGGTCTCCAACCAGTTCCAATATAAATAAAATGCATTCTAAATAAAATAACACGCTTGAATATGCATAGCTACATTTTGTTATTTTTGAATAAGCTGATTGAGTCTGACTGTCAATGAGCAGGAATAATGTATGAGTGAAATCTTGAATGTCTATTGCTAGTGCACCTTTTATAAAACAACAGCTTTCTTGACGCAAACATTTACAGTGTCTTTATTTCTACAAACAGCTTCTATTTGGCGTGAAATAATGTGGATCGTTTTGTTTAACATTCTTAATGAACATTGTCCCTGACAATTTAGTACAGCATTGTGAATGAAAAATTGATAAAATACGAGTATAATTATTAAAACAATTTTTCATCTTTATCGAGAGTTTAAATATTACTAAAAATATTTATTTTGGCTGTTTGGGTGCATATAAGCTCTGTAGTAGCGTAAAAGTAACAAGTGCTTAAAAAATTCGGCTGTCCTGTTAATTCCTGTGTAGCTCAGTGGTTAGAGTAGTCGCCTGGATAGCGAAAGGTCGTGGGTTTGGGTCCCATTTCGGAGTGCCAGGGATAAAGTGGATTTTTAAGCAAGCAAAATATATCAAATATCATAATTGTTTTGTTTATTTAAGTTATTTTTATTTTATCTATATAGAGGGGTAATAATGGCTTTATTGCATATAACACAGGACAAAATAACAAATAGTATACAAAAGCTGACCTTATTACTCTTGAGAAATGATGAAAATAAATAATTATTACTGTTTATATATTAGACTACTGAATTTATTTTAGATTTCCGAATACTCTTTTGCCTAAATTAAAGAGAAATCTTTTTATAATTGTAGGCACTATAACCAGATACTTCACTTAATAAATTTATATAGGTACCTATCGATATCGCTCTTTAAAGAGCGAGTATGTTAACAGACGACACCATCACTCAGGCAATTCTGGAATTCTAGTATGGCAGCATACCGGACATATACTTAGACATATTCTTGGCAACCCATCAACGCACCTCGAAACCTCTGAAGGTCCAGTGCGAAATTGGCTGGTGTAAACTTTTATATAATAGGGCGTCTATGTGTAGAAAATTGGAGCCTGGTTTAATCAAATTTATTTATTCAAGGTTCACACAACAGGTTACGATCAAGTAAAGTAGAAAAAAAAAACACGTATAAACATAAGAGCGAGACTACACTCCAAAAGCGTGCGTACACAGCATTACATTCAAAAAAGCGTAAACAGCCAACATATATTGATCCACAAATAGTATATGTAGATCAATAATACTATACAAAAAGCATAAAGCATGTTACTATAATGCACATATAGGTATGTAAAATACAAATGTTTAAATTTCGCCAAAGTAATCAAATTAAAAAACCAAGAAAAAATATGAACCTGATTTACAATTATGAATATACCTCAAACTTGTAGACTTTCTTTTCAAAAGGTGTTTATTAATTTAAGTAATTAGATAACTCAGCCATTGGAAGGATAAAACTGACTGAGAATAAAATCGTATCGCTTTCAGTTTAGACAACTATTAAGTTTAAAATCATCAAATCCGGTAACTAGTGTCTTCTCATAACCAGTGAGAATTCACCCTCTAGGTATAGATGTCTGTCTTAAAATAATAATAACATTTAAGATCACAAACGTCATGTTCTCAACGAGGAACCCGATTTACAAACAATGTAATTTGCAATAAATGTTAAATCCGCTAAATCAGCGAGCGCTGAACTTTGCTCCACTGATCAATTTAGTGCGCCTACGCAACTACTTACAACTTCTTACAAATTGCATACATTAGACGCACGTTTTATTTGAATGAATGAATCAGACTAT